AAAAAACAAAACATACTCCCATAATGCTCAAACAAAAATCAAAAAATCGTCCCCCGACTATGTTTTGACAATTTTGAATACTTGAGCAGGCCGAAAGATGTTCCTCGTGAGGCCCACATGACACATGCGAAGTGTCGTTGACTTTAGCGGATGCGGACGCAGCGATCATATCGATCGCGCTCGCGTCGAGGTGGGGCGTGGCATATGTTATGGGCGGCTGCGGGAGTTGGCCAGGCCGCTGTGGCGCTCGAACACCCACATGTTATGGAGGCTGCGGGACTTGGCCGGGCCCCGTGTGTTGTGTCTCTCGGTAAGGGAACCCTTCCCCCGTGGAATCATAGCTTGGGCTGCAGGTCCAAGGCTCCGTGGATCCATTTCCCCTTGGGTCCCTTGTACTAATTATTATTATGCGTTATGCCAGCAGAAGAATTGGATCCACGAAGCATCCACGGCAAAGCATTGGATCCAGAAGACACGGAAATTGGATCCATGTGACTCTCGCACACACGTAATTTCGGGGAGAAGTAAGACTCGGGTACGGGGGACTCGGGTTGGCCCGACGGGGCCGTCATAAAAATGACGAGGCCCAATCTGAAATTTGACGCGAGCTCCCGCTGCAGACATCCCACGAAAACTGGACCGTCAAAATCCAGGACGCGCTCGCCAAAAAAATGTCGGCAAACCCGAGTTCCGGCTTACTCGGGTCTTGCGTTCCCCCGATAATTTGATCCAAAATGGATCCATGCTTTCCCATGCAAGAGGAAGACACTTTCGGCCTGGGGATGTATGAAGGGGCCCCAAACACACACACACACAAATAAATACACACAAATAAAATTTCTCCCCATATTTTCCTATATTTTCTGGGTTTCTGTCTTCCCCCCGCATTCCATATTTTCCCATATTTTCGGGGGAATCGAGGATTAATTGTGTCTGTGTGTTTCTTTCCCTCCTGAATGTATTCCTCCTGTAGAAAGGACAGGCCCGACCTCATAGCAGCCTGGGGTCGTGGCTGCTCCCTCTGGGAGCCCTTGGGCTCGGGCCGCTGCCGGCGGCTCCTCCCGCAGGCGCAGGCAGGCGATGGACCGGTACCTTGTCGCGTTGGCGTCCTGGCTGCGGCCCCCCCTCCCCCCTGCCTCCTCCTCCTCCTCCCTCCTCCTCCTCCTCCTCCTCCTCCTCCTCCTCCTCCTCCTCCTCCTCCTCCCCTCCTCCTCCTCCTCCTCCTCCTCCTCCTCTCCTCCTCCTCCTCCCCCCCTCCTCCTCCTCCCTCCTCCTCCTCCTCCTCCTCCTCCTCCTCCTCCTCCTCCTCCTCCTGCGAGCGAAGAACGGTATAACATAAACTTTTTCGCCGTCGGGGGCGGCAGAGAGGGGGGCGATGACTAATAAGGTGGGGGTGAATATCATGGCGTGGGCCATGATATTTCCCCAGATCTCATGGCGCCTCTTCTTGTTCCATTACGGCCCTGGCCCCCCGCTGGGCCGCGCACATGCCGCTAGTCATGACTTGCACCCCCCCCTCGTGGACACCCCCCTCTTTTTGAGCGAGCGAAGAACGGTATAAAATAAACTTTTTCGCTGTCGGGGGCGCCTGCCCCTGGGCGGCTGGAAAGTTTGTACCCCTACGGTGCCACCGGAAGGGTACAAACTTTCCAGCCGCCCTGGGGCAGGTGTCCCCGACGGCGAAGAAGTTTATGTTATACCGTTCTTCGCCCGTTAAGTCGGGCGTTGGCAGAACTGGGTTTCGTGGGACCTGGTTTGGTGATGTGCACTGGGGGACGCCCCCCCCCGCCCCGTTCCACTAACCGGAACTACCGTCACCCGAGAAGCACCAGCCGCGGCAAACCTGGTTTCGTGATTCCAATCCGGATGTTGGGCTTCGGGGCCCAATCACTAACCGGCTCCCCTTAACTGGGGCCCCTGCCTATACCCGACTGAGAGCTTAATGTTATACGACAAACGAGGGTGTCCTGACACCGACCGCCGGCGAAGCCGACCGATCGGGCGAAACCGACGCCCGGCGAGACACACTCGCGCCCTCCGATGCACGTCGTGCCTGCCCTCGGCTACACGCAGGTCGGGGAGACGTAAGACTCGGGCTCGGGGGACTCGGGTTGGCTTGCCGGGGGCGTCAGGAAAACAACGAGCCCCACTCTGAAATCTGATGCGAGCTCCCGCTGCAGGCGACCCCACGAAAGCGGGACCGTCAAAATCCGGCGCGGGCCCGTCGAAGAGCGCAGGCGAACCCGACTTCCAGCGTGCTCGGGCCTTACAGTCAACCCGTATAGTAAGGATGCGCGATAAGGATAAGGGCCTTGGACGCCCATTTCGGAGCTTTTCGAGCGGGGCGCGGCCGACGAAAGTGGTCAAGGATGGGCCGAGAAGGCAAGGATGCAAGGGTACCCTTGGGAAGGTTGCCCATCCTTCCTATGCGGGTTGACTGGACTTCTCCGCGAACAGGACTGACCCGGAGCAAGGGTGGCCCTCTGGCTCAAGCTGTTTTCCTGCGCCATCGCAGCGCAGCGCTCCCCAGGAGACGGAGCAGACAGGGGCCGCACCGTGGTCGTAGCAGCAGGGGCTCCAATCGCGAGGGCGGGCCTCGACGTTCGCAGCTGGATGGCAACATGACGTCTCGCCCTGCACGGGGGGCGGGAGAGGGAACACACGACAGCAACAGCTGCAATGTACGGCAGGTCCGTGCCGTGTCGACCCCGGCGAGGGTTCCTGACACCGTGGGGATCGCTCGACCTTGAACGATCGGACGTGCCCGAAACGTCAAATCCCTTCAGCATCGACCGATTCCGGGTCGCCGTCGGCGTTCAACGTTGAACGCCAGCGGCGGGGTGGCCGTCGGTCGACACGACGCGACTCCACTGTATGGGTGCTTATGACGGGGCCTGGGGACACACAAATAAATAGACACAAAAATAACATGATTCCCAATATTTTTCCCATATTTCCTGGGTTTTCGTCTCCCCCCCCACTCCCCATCTTTGCCCATATTTTCCTGGGAATCGACGATTAATTGGGTCTGTGTGTTTCTTTCCTTCCGTTCACCCTCCCTGGTCGACGCCGCTTGGATACAAGGCGCGTCCTCTCTCGCCGCCAACTCGAGGCTGGTGTACATGATGAGCCGTTGACGGCACCACCAACCACAGCATTTTGCTTCTACCGGTACTTCGCCACCGTGTTCCTGTACGAGGCGTTCCTTTGCAAGCACGTCGTCTTCGGCACCGCCCGATCCCGAAGCTTTGCCTCCTCCTGGCCTTGCCGTGAGGCCGCTCTCCTTCTGCATCCCCCTCTTTGTGAATTCAAGCTTCGCGCGGCCCGCTTAGCTTCGACTGGAAGAGGTGCGCTCTCGACCCGCGAATCATAAAAAGTGTCTTTCCCTCCTGAGCTTACCTGTCCACGTAGGTATGAAGGGGCCCAAGGACACACAAACAAATACACACAAGTGAAAGGATTCCCTCTATATTTTCCTATCTTTTCTGGGGTTCTGTCTTCCCCCCTCACTTCCCATAGTTTGCCATATTTTTTGGGGAATCGAGGATTAATTGTGTCTGTGTGTTTCTTTTCCTCTTCGAGCCTGCAGGCCGCCGCTGCGTGCCGCGGCCGGCGGATGGCGCAGCAAAGGGTCCCTCCCTGCCCAGAGCCGCGCCCTCGCGCGCGCCGCCTCGGCCCGCGGCGGCTGCCACGGAGGCCCCTCCTCCCTCCTCCTCCCCCTCCTCCCCCTCCTCCCCCTCCTCCCCCTCCTCCTCCCCCTCCTCCTCCGCCTCCTCCGCCTCCTCCGCCTCCTCCTCCTCCTCCTCCGCCTCCTCCTCCTCTGGGCGTCTCGGCCCCGAATCGCCCATGGATCGCCGATGGGTGCCAAATGGCCCGCCCTGCCCGGGACCTGTGCGGTTTCGCGGCCCGGGGGCCCGTCGCCGGCTCCAGCTCCGTGCGCGGCATGCGCGACAGCATCCGTCACCGACGTCGGCGCTGCTCGCAGAGGAACGCGATGAAGTCGGGCCGGTCCCCCTACAGGGGGAGTGGGGAGGAAAAATATTAGAATACCCCCAAAAAATACTCCACGATGGCCAAAAAATAATCAAGACAAAAAAGAACCCAGACTGTTTTTTTTGTGACTATTTTTGAAGATTCCCCCTGTAGAGGGACAGGCCCGACTTAAGAACACGAGCGGGGAACACGAGCAATTTTGGGGGGTCCCTCTGGGGCGCCAGATGTGGCCGACATCGGCGCGTTCCCCCAGAACGCCGGCCGCATCGTCCCAAGCACCGCGAAGTCGAGCAACAGGTCGGCCAGGGACACACGTACCCATGGGGTCCGATATCCAATGCCTTCGGCGAGGCTCCCCGTCAAATTGCGTGTGTATTGCCAACCCCTGGGCTGTATCCACCGCTTTTGCCTCCGCCGGTAGCCGACGCATGTCCTCCCAGACCCCCGACGCTGAGATTTTTCCAGCACGTGGTAAGACGAAGCCAGGACGAGGATAAAACCAAGTAAAAATAAATCGAGGATCTCCGAGATCCGGCGGATCTGGAGGATGTCTTGGGCGCCGCGGCCTTCTCAGAGCGCTCCGGAACGCTCTGAGAGCGTTCCGGAACGCTCTGGAACGAACTAGTCCTCGTCTTAGGAATGGAGGCCAGTCCACAAGAAAGCTTCCACAAGGAGCCCCACCCTGATACCCCAGGACGTCCACTGGATTTTGGTGTTGGAAGGTCACGCCTTCCATCGCAAAACCAGCGAAACCCAAGACACCCTGACACACTGGAAGCAAGCAGGGTGTTTCTTGGCATGGGCCTCCACTCTAACCCCGCCCGAAGCAAGTGGGTCCCTGGAAATCTCTGGCCCCTTCCCTCAGGACCCGGCGGAGGGCACCCCGGCCGAGCATCGCCAAAAACACCTCCCGTCGCGATGTTTGTTGCTGCGACGCGCGAGGGGGTCTGTAATGGGGGACGAAAAAGGAGGAGGAGGAGGAGGAAGAGGAGGAGGAGGAGGAGGAGGAGGAGGAGGAAGAGGGGGAGGAGGAGGAGGAGGAGGAGGAGGAGGAGGAGGAGGAGGACAAGTGTAAACCCAAGAGTCATCAAAGATGTTGGAATGAACCCTCCCTCCAAGCTCCCTCTGCATAGGCCCCTACAACGGTTCATTTCCGTTGAGGGAACTGCCTCGTTTGAAAACAACCGTTTGATGAAGACCTTGAACCATGCCACAACATGGTTCTCGGGATTTCCACGCCACGGATTAACCTGACTGCTGCATCCTGACGGTGTGGAATCTTGCCAGAACGCCATTTATGGGATGTCAACACCGCGCATCAATATAACTGTTGCGCCCGCATAATCCATAGCCCTTCCAGAACATAATTTCTGGTACACTGATGATGGGAGTCCGTGAACCCCTGGCAGAATTTTAATAGAATGTGCACGGCGTTAAAGCGAGAGCCACACTTTGAAAAGGAACCGCCCTCAATCCGTCCAGCTCTTGCATATGTTTTAAGCGCGGCGCTTTGGCGAGAACCGCATTCTGAAAACCACCCGCCCTCGATCCGTGAAACTCTTGCGAACTCTTAAAAAGAATGTGCGCGGCGCTCTGGCGAAAGCCACATTCTGAAAACCGACCGCCCTCAATCCGTGAAGCTCGTGCAACTGCTTAAAACGAGTGTGCGCGGCGCTGAGGCGAGAGCCACAAGTTGAAAACCACCCGCCCTCCATCGGTGAAGCTGTTGTCATTTTTAAGTTTCAGAGTCATAATTGGTGAGGAAGTCTCAGGCGAAACGCCCGACCCGCCCTCAAAACTGGCCTCGGGGTGCGACAGGGAGAAATTATTGATAAGGAAAAGTGAAGGAGGAGGATGCGGATGAGGATGAGGGGGAGGAGGACGAGGGAGGAGGAGAGGGGGGGAGAAGGAAGAGGAGGGGGAGGAGAAGGATGAGGAGGGGGAGGAAAAGGATGAGGAGGGGGAGGAGAAGGAGGAGGAGGAGAAGGAGGAGAAGGAGGGGGATCGGCTCCAGGAGTGGCAACAATGAGCTTGCAAGGGCGATAGATCGCCGATAGATCGGCGTTATGCCCCCGATTGCGAGTCTGGACGCTCCTGGGCGGGGTGGGCTGTCGGGTCCTCATCGGCGATCACTCGGCGATTGGAGGTCGATGTGTCCCGCGCTGGGCCTATCCGCCCTTCACGTTGCCCCCTGGTTTCTGGGTCATACCTCGGCGCTGTGCGGCATTTACTGGGACAATCCAGGCACCCCTGGACCGCTTTGACCGAGGCACAGCCGCCAGAAGGCATCCCGATGCTAAAGAAACGCTGAGAACCATCGAGACCATCCGAAAGCCTCTCATCTCGAACCCGATACGTTCCCCGCCAGGGCTGATCCCCCCGATAGTTTTGCCCAAGCGAAGGGGTCTGAACCCCTCGATTCGGCCAAATCCGAACCCTACCCTCGCCGATCAACGATTCAGACAACTCGATGGGCGGCAGGGGTAAGGCTCCGATAATCAGTTGACGGCGGAATCCAAACCCGATCCCCGCCTGCCATCGCTTCCCTAATCCCCCGACGTCGTGATTTTTTCACAACGTCGCTTCCCACAGGTCTGGACCCATTCCCCCGGACCGGTTGTTCGCCCCGAGTCGTAATTTGACGGTCCCGGGGCCCGGTAAGGGCCCCGAAAGCGGAAAATAGTGAAACACCTACCATCGTGACTTTTGTGCAGCGCGAGGGGGTACGGGATGTGGAACTCACAGCCTAGTCAGATCGAAGCTACGCGGCAACCTGCAACTGCCTAACACATAGTGAAGATTTCTGCAACTCTCTAACACATAGTGAAGAGGGGGTCTGTGTCAGGAGAATCGATCGTTGGCGGGGGTAGGGTTCGGATGTCGCCATCCTGGCTAGCCCCATGCGCAACACGCAACACCCGCACCGTGGCTGTCACGCAAGCTAGCACGCAGCAGGGGGAGGAGGACGAGGAGGAGGAGGAGGAGGAGGAGGAGGAGGAGGAGGAGGAGGAGGAGGAGGAGGATCGCCCGCCATTGAAACGGCGCCCCCCGCGGTCCCCCGGAGCGAGCCGCAGCGCCTCGTCGAAGTCCCTCACGGCCTCCCGCGCCCCCCCGCAGGGAGGCGGTGGGGGGCAGCCGAGGGCGCGCCGCAGCGCTGCGGCGGCGAGGGCGCCGATCGCGCGGGGGCGCGCGGAAGGGGGGTAGGGGGGCAGCAGGGGGGCGGGGGAAAAGGAGGAGGGACACGCCGCTCCGGACTTCAATCCCGGCCGCTCAGAGGACGTCGCCTGCTTGCTGGGCTGCCTGGTTCTCCGCCTGCAGTGGGCCCCGCGGAGCCGCGCGGAGAGCGTAGCAGCCGCCTGCGCGTGCGCCGCGTGCTTCGCGAGGAACGCAGCCGCCGCGCGCTCGCGTGTAGGTAGCCCGAGCGTGAGCCCCCCGAGAGCCCGGGGAACCGCGCCTGGGCACTCGCGTGCTCGTCCAGGAGAATCGTTGTGAGCGTCTTCAGGGTGTGTAAGCGCGCCTCGGAAAGCGCCTCGGCATGCACCTCCGGGGACTCCCAAGGGCAGAGGCGGATGTCGCAATCCATCGCCCTGCACACCGAGCGGTGCATCCCTCCCTCCCTCCCTCCTTCCCCCCCCTCCCCCTCCTCCCCCTCCTCCTCCTGCTGCTGCTGCTGCTCGCTCGACTGGCGGTCTGCGCAGTTCGACTCGGATTCGAAAATTATATAACAATTCATACGACGGCACCCACCGCGCCGCTCACGCGCCCCCGCGCCACTCGCGCCTCCGCCAGCGTCGGGTCGCACCCGAGGGAGAGCAGATCCACGTCCGCCGCGGCGAAGTGGACCCATCGCTCAAGGGCGGCTCGCCACTTCGGAAGCAGCCGCGGCGCCGCCCAAGCGTCCCGCATGCAGCAACCAACGTGCACCGCCAGCAAGTCCAGGGAACGCAAACTCTCGGCGCCGATCCGCCCGTAGGTCTCGAAGGCGACGGGGAGGACGATGCTCCCGTACCGGACTCCGCCGCCTCAGACGCGGCCTCGCCAAGGCGCGTGTCAGCATGCTCATAGCGGGCGGCGGGCGGGCAGCGGATGGTGACGTCCACATACAGCGGCTGCACCGCGCAGGGGAACGTGACCACCAAGTCCGAGATGGCCTCCTGGACCGCCCCGTCCCTCCCATAGCGCACGAGCTCCGGCACGGTGCGCCCCAGGTCCACTTCGGCGCGGCATGCCCGAAGCTGCCGCATGAGCCCGGCTGCTGCTGCTGCTCCCTCCCTCCCTCCCTCCCTCCCTCCCTCCCTCCCTCCCTCCCTCCCTCCCTCCCCGCCTCCCTCCCTCCGCCCGCCCGGTCGCACCCGCAGGGCCCCGCCTCCAGGAGCCGGCCCACGTTGACCAGCGCCGCGCCGCGCCCCACGAGGCCCTCCTGCCGGCCGCGCCCCGGGCTGCCGCGCGGCGCGGCCCTTCGGCGGCCTCTCGGCGCGGCCCCTCGGCAGCCCCTCGGCACCCCCGCGGAGGCGTCGTCCGTCGACGACCACGGCCACGACGACGACCACGACTGCGACAGCGGCGGCTTGCGACGATGGCGACGCCGACGCCGACGCCGACGACGACGCCGACGCCGACGACGACGACGACGGCGACGACGATGGCGGCGGCAGTGGCAGCGGCGGCGGCGACGGCGACGACGACCATCAGCGGCCCTTCGGCGGTCCTCGGAGGCGTCGTTCGTCGACGTCGTGGCCGACGGCAGCGTCGTCGGCGCTGGCGGCGATGAGCACGACGCCAGCGGCGGCGGGCAGGAGGCAGCCGCGGAGGCCGCCGGGTGGCGACGCGGGACACTTGGCGACTCGAGCACATCGAGCGGACAGATTTCAGGAGGAGGAGGAGGATGAGGAGGAGGAGGCGGAGGAGGCGGAGGAGGAGGAGGCGGAGGAGGCGGAGGAGGCGGAGGAGGCGGAGGAGGCGGAGGAGGCGGAGGAGGCGGAGGAGGCGGAGGAGGCGGAGGAGGCGGAGGAGGAGGAGGAGGAGGAGGAGGAGGCGGAGGCGGAGGCGGAGGCGGAACGAGCTCAGGGGGGACACGTCGAGCTTGAATCGGCGATATATCGCTGACGAATCGAAGGTTGGCCCCCGATGGCGAAGACGCGAGGTCTTTGTGAAGGGGCCCTGGGACACACAAGTAAATACACACACGCAAATAACAGGATTCCCAATGTTTTCTCCATATTTCCTTAGTTTTTGTCTTCCCCCCCACTCCCCATACTTTCCCATATTTTCTGGGGAGTCGACGATTCAATACATACACACAAATGACAGGATTCCAAATTCTTTTCCCATAGTTCCTGAGTTTTTCTCTTCCCCCCCACTTCCCATATTCTCCCATGTTTTCTAGGGAGTCGACGATTCAATGGTGCCTGTGTGCTCCTTTCTCTCCTGACCTTGGGCGCGGTGGGCTGCCGGGCCCCCACTGGCGATGAGGGGGCGCTGGGGGGAGCCAAGGCGCCCCCTCCGAGCCAAGTCCCCCCCGAATGCTGCCCCCGAGAATCGGGTCGGGTCCTCCTCCTCCTCTTCCTCCTTCTCCTCCTCCTCCTCCTCCTCCCCCTCCTCGATCCCCCTCCTACTCCTCCCTCGACCTTCCCCCTGCCGCTGCCCCGGCAGCCAGGGGCCGAGGGCGCCGCTTGGGCCGCGCGTCCCCCCCCCTCTCTCCGCGTCCCCGCGTGAAGGGCAAGGGCAAAGCCGGGGGGGAGCGGGCTGCCCGTCGGCGGGAAGAAGCAGGCGAGGACACTCGGGTCGGGCGAAAGGGGGGGATAGCAAAGGGGGGGCTTGAGGATCAGCTCACGCAGCTGGTTTCTACCCGGCGCCTCCCGGCGCCGGGAGGCGGTCACGGTCACGTATCGAGGAATCGGCCCCATCGGTGGGGCCGAAACCAGCTGCGTGCAGCAGACTTCGTCACCCCCCCTTTCCCTATCCCCCCCTGTCGCCCGGCCCGAGACACGAGGTGCAGCCCTCCTCGGAGTCAAGCGCAAGATGTCAACTGGCCATCGCTCTGACGTCCATTCCCTGTTTTTTTTCGGTTTCGTGCGTGGTTTTTTCGCCAAATAATCAAGGATGCTCCTCGATGGTCCTCGCCGAAGGAAAAATGCACACGTCCGAGCGATGCCAAGTCAATGTGCTGGTCGGCGCGCACAGCGCGCGGCCCGCGCGGGGTCCGCTGCTTGTGCTTGCCGTCGCCAGCTTCGCAGCGAAGGCCGAGTCTGTGGGGCCCTCGGGCGCCGCCACGTCGCTGGGAACAACAACTCGCGTTTGTTGCTTAATATTTGTGTGTTTTATATGGTTTAAAATATGTTTTATGTTTTGTTATTTTTCTTTCGAGGGGGATGTGGGGAGGCGGACCGAGTAGGGTGGGCTCGGGCCCTCACCGAGTACGACAAGGCACGGCAAGAACACATGGACTCTTGAAGGAAGGCGCTAGAAGTAGGTTGGAATCTGGGGATTCAACAATACAGACTTTCGACGACCGGCGAATACGCGTAGGGGGGCGCATCGACCTCGAATGGCCGACACATCGCCCAAGCATCGTCGATGCATCGTCGATGCACACCGCCCCACGCATCGCCGATACGGCGCCGATGCACAGCCCTGGCATCCACGATGCACCGCCGGTGTCTCAACCATTCGAGGTCGATACATCCCCCCTGTGCCCCGGCCCCCCCCCTGTCGTTGCCCCCGATGAGGGCTCGGGGGGGGCGGGTCCGCCATCCCCTCCCCACGGGGGCCCAGACCGGGTGCCGCGCTGCCGCGTGGGGGCCGCGCGGCGGGCGCGCGAGAGCGCCCCTATAGCCCATCGCGCGGGCACCACTTGACAAGTCGGTCGGAAGACGTAGGTAAAAACATGAAGTTGGAAGGTGGTCAAAGTAGGTTGGGCTCGGGCCCGCCAAGAGAACAACGCAATGCAGCAGAAGCATATCGGTTCTTGAAGTAGGAAGGCGCTGAACACATGTTTGCATCTGTGAGTCCAGAAATGACTACTTTCAACGGCCAGCGTGTAGGGAGCACTCACAGGACGCACGCGCAAGACCACGTAAATGAACACGGCCCTCCAGTCTGCGGGACCAGCCTCGACTGTTCGCGCACGGAGCACGGTCGAAACCAGCGTGGGTTCATGTACGTGTGCGTCCTACCTTCGCTCCTGGCACTTCGGCCACGTCTCCAGCCACGCAGTTCTGTTCGCTTGCAGGCACTTCCGGCTGGTAGGGGCCAGTCGCCATGGTGTTTCTAGGGGGCAAACAAACCTACCCCGCTTTTGACCGAGAGATACCAAGCGACGCCAAGCTACGGCCTGTACTGGTCAGGCCGCTTGACGAGGAGGCGTGTGGTATGAACTGGTTTTGCCTGAAAGCGAAAGCGGGGTAGGTAATTCACGCTCGGAGTTTCGGTCGCGCCGATCGAGCCTCGAAGCTCCTCCCTCGGGCCCAGACGCGGCGCCGCCCTGCCAAGGGGGCCCGCGCTGCGGGCGCCCCGTCCTTGTGGCGCGGGCACAGCTCCAGGGCCGCATCGTAGCGCTCCAACGCCCCGCCGTGGTCGCCAGCGCGGGCGCACGCGATGCCCTGTGGCGCCGTCGTCGTCGTCGTCGTCGTCGTCGTCGTCGTCGTCGTCGTCGCCGTCGTCATCGTGGTCGTCGTCGTCGTCGTCGTCGCCGTTGCTTTGCAGCGAGCTTCACGCCTGTCTAGCTCTGGGGGGATCAAGGACGAGACAGGCAGAGGATGCGGAGAGCAGGCCAACACCAGCAGGGCTAGCCGGCGCTCCGCCTCGGAGAGGCAAGAAGGGGAGGAACGAGACGAGGGAAAGGGAAACTCCAAGACGTCAGCGGCTGGGCGCAACCGCGCCCCGCAAACCATTGGCCACGCGGCCGGGACACTGATAAGGATAGACGTTCGCAATGTCGACCCCGACGCTAACGGCTAGACTGACTCTGCCGGTCACCTGAAGCACACAAGTGTTGGCAGAGACGCCCCGTCGTGAGGGTGGGCAACGTGGTTGCCAGAAACACCTCGGGTATCCATGCCCTACTGCACAGAATTTGGACGCAGCGAAAATGTCACGAAACTCGCTGCTGCACAGAGAATCGGTACTCAAGGGGTCTTCGAATGTCCTTCTGGGTGCGATTCCGCGACCCTGCAGAGTCTCCGGCGGGGTCCAACATGGGCCTGCAAATTTCTGAGTGGATGGGAACGAGGTCAACCAATCAGCAACATCTAGATGCAAGCCCGCCGTGGCAACCGAAAGACCCCGCAGCTCGAGCTTTGTCAGGCATAGAGCTCGGACCTTCCTTGCCGTTCGAGGGCCCGGCAGAGGCACAGCATGGTTATGTTCGTATGCTTTTCCACGCGGGCTGGCCATCCAGGCCCCCTAAAGCGGCGAAGAAATTGAAACTTGGCCCCTCGAGCGCAAGGCAAGGGAGTAGCAGGAGGAGGAGGAGGAGGAGGAGGAGGAGGAGGAGGAGGAGGAGCAGGGGGAGGAGGAGGAGGAGGAGGAGGAGGAGGAGGAGAGGAGGAGGCGGAGGAGGAGGAGGAGGAAGAGGCGGAGGGAAAACACAGCGTTGGATGCAGGAGGGGGAGGAGGAACAAAAAGGAAGAGGACGAGGAGGAGGGAGCTGACATCGGCCGCGAGGCCAGTGTGCCTATCACGAGAGATGGGCTGCGCGCCCCTCCCCCTTCGGGAGGGGCGGCCTGGGTCACCCGTCCCCCCCTTTCGGGGGGGGCCAGCAGCAGCCCGCTCCGCCGCCGCTTCATCGGAGGATTGGGTGGGAAGCAGCCGCGCGGCGCGGCGGAACGCGCGCCGGCGCGCTGCTCCTGCCCGCGAACGCCCGCGCGGGCGCTTTCGCCGAGGCGTGTCCTCGGACCGGTCCCTGCTCGAGCGCGTCGGCTGTCGGCTGAGCGGCAAACAAAAACGGGTCATGCGAGAGATAACATGCGGTGAGGGCATTGGATAAGGAACCCTTACATAAGGAATCCACGGTCTGGAAGCCGGTGAAACTCAGATCGTGGCTCGGCCATGGATCACACTGCCGCCCTCCTCAGACAAGGGATCCCCCAGGGTCTGAAGCCTCAGGGGCCCATTCCTTAACGAATGGCCCCACCGTAGCGACCTCACGGGGCGGCTTACGCGGGCCGCCAGCGCGGCACGCCACGAAGGAGACGAGGGTGCTTACGCGCGACCTTACGCGAGCAGCTTGCGCGCAAATGTCGGCGCAGAGCACCCCGTTGTTTTGCGTCGCCCAGCTGGCCCGCCAGCGGGTTGTTGCGCCTAGCAGTGCACACTGTGCGCCGCCGCCGTGCGCACCGCGGCGAGGGCGAGGGCGCCCCCGGACGAGTTGCCCAACGGCTGGTCGAGCAGCAGGAACGCGCCGAGGCTGTCCACCGCGGAGGGAATCAAAAACCGGCGCCGCGCGAACGTGTGCACGACCAGACAATGTGCGCAGTGCTCGATCGAGTCCTCTGGCACGCAGCTGAAGGTGCACTGGCGTTGTTGTTAAAAGCGGCGGCCCGCTCACCGCCCACTGAACCACGTCCGCAACAATGCGGCTCCGCGGACGCAGGGAGGAACCGCAGCCCGGAGCATCGCGAACACCCACTGGCCATGGAGACTCAGCAACGCGCGAAAGAGCGCAGCGCCCACCGTTCCAGGCGCCGCCGCCAGAAGCGCCCAGCCGCAGCCCCTCGCAGCTCCTGCAAAGAGTGAAGCTCTTCCCGTTCGGGCCAACGGGCCTTGTGAAGCTCTTCCCGTTCGCTTGCGCCCATCGTCGCGTCGGCAGCGCCAAGAATTCTGGCCTGGACGCGGGCCGTTCTCCAACCAAGCCGCTCGAAATAGGTCGTGGCGGCCTCCAGGAGCCAGGCGGCAGCGTTTTCGAACCACTGGTGCCAGGCAGCCCGCCTGCAGAGGAACTCTGGCGTGGCCATGGCCCCTCGCACGGCGCGGGCGCGAAGCCCGACCTGCAACTCTCCACGATGACGCGTTTCGTAGACGGCGACGCGGATACGGGCGGCCAAAACCAGATGCTCGATGTCCGCGAGACTGCCTGCAAATCCGATGGGCCGGGTGTCGCGGAGGAGCTCGGGGGCGAGCCAGCCCTACCGGCCGGGGAACAGATGCGCGAGAGCTTCCCGCTCAGTGGCGCGCCAATTCCCGCAGGGAGGGGACAACTGCGCCACGAGCCCGAGCATGGGCACCGCGTGCACGCGCGCTGCGAGGAGCGTCAGCTGTAAGCCGCAACCAAGTTTGCCCCACGAGGTGGCGTGGAGGAGGTGCTTCCCTCTTTGGACGCCCGAAATGGGTTCGGAAAGAATGGGTACACTGCCCAACAGCAAATGTTGACCCAAACCAACGGCGGCCGCCGTTGGGCAGGCGGCCCTCTGTCTCAAACGGACACCGCCGCGGCGGCGCGGACAGCGAGTCCTGTTCAAAATCAACAGGAACTGCTGTTGGGCATTGTACCCATGTTTCCCGTACCCATTTCGTTCGTGCCGACTTTCGAGCCCTGCGCCAGGCCTCGTCCTCGGATCCCGGGCCCAAGCAGACGTCGAGGTACGCGCCGAGTGCGCCAGCTTCGCGGCGCCCCGGCGGGGCGCAGCTGCGGCCCCGGAGGCACAGAACTCCTCCAGCGCCACCTGGCGCAGCGGAACAATCACCGGCTTGCCCCAGCTCTGGCTTAGCGGGGAAATCTGCTTGAGCATTCGTGGAAGAGCCGCTCCAGCACAAGAAGGTCCTTGCGCAAATGCTGTGCGAAGGGGGCCGAGGGCAAAGTCGCCCGCGCACGCCCAGGAAACCAGCGTAGGGAGCAGACGTTGAAGACGTGAGAGGAGTAGGTCAACCACTGTGGCGACGAGGAGGGGGGAAGAGGGCAACCTGGTCGCACCCGCGCCGGATGCGTGAACCTTCGAACTGCTGACTGGCAACGACAAGCTGGCACACGCTGTCCTGGTAGAGGCCCGTCACGAAGCGGAGGAGAGACGACGGGGGGCCGATCCACTTCAGGAGCCTCAGCATGAAGGCCAGACCAATAGAAGGGAATGCCGCTCGGATGTCAAAGAAGACGCAAACCGCGCCATCCTGACTGAGAGCGGACACCCGCATCTCCGCACCGTTGCCCAAGACGTTGGCGAGGAGCGAGCGGCCGCCGATGAACCCGCGCTGGACGTCCGAGACCCACTCGGAGAAAGTCCCCGCTAGCCGGAAACGCACGACGTTCGCCAGGATTGAAGGGGCCCCAGGACACACAAATAAATACACACAAATAAAAGGATCCCCCATATTTTCCTATATTTTCTGGGTTTTTGTCTTCCCCCCCACTTCCCACATTTCCCCATATTTTCTGGGGAATCGACGATTAATTGTGTCTGTGTGTTTCTTTCCCTCCTGAAGGATCCTGTTGTCGAAAATCACGACGTTGATGGGCCTGACCTGGTCGGCGTCGAAGAAGTGCCCAGCGTCCTCGTCGTAGCCCGACGCCTGCTTCGGCAGGAGGTGGAGGAGGGAGCACTTGAAGTCGGGAAGGTGGCTGCGGTGCAGCTCTTGTCCCCGAGCTGCTGGTACGACTCGGCCGGGATGGCATGGGTTCTGGGGCGCAAGTCCCCGAAGAGCTGATTGCCTGAAGGCTGCGAACAAAAAAAACAACTGCTCCCACAACCAGGTGAAAAGAACGGCTCCAGGACGGGAACCGGAACCAGAACCTGAAAAGCAACCAGAGCCAGAACCAGAAACAACAAAAATGCGACGGAGCCAGGAGCAGAGCGGAGCCGAGACCGGCAGAGAAACGGCAGATCGGAACTGGAATCAGACATGCCCTGTCGTTTCCTGGGCCCACCTAGCTCCTGGCTGCCCACAAGAGTGACCCCCCGCAGGAACTGGTGACTCTTGGTGCGCGGCTTCAGACGGAGGAGGAGGAGGAGGAGGAGGAGGGAGGAGGAGGAGGAGGAGGAGGAGGAGGAGGAGGAGGAGGAGGAGGAGGAGGAGGAGGAGGGGGCCGCAGACGCCCTGACCTGGGCGCGCAGGCCGGGGCAGGGGGAACGCCTCAGGGCCAGGACCAGAGGCTCCTCCGCCGAAAGGTCACTCTTACGCGTGCAGGATGTTCCTCGCGGCGTTGAGTCGTCGTCCTCGTCGTCGTCGTCGTCGTCGTCGTCGTCGTCGTCGTCGTCGTCGTCGTCGTCGTCGTCGTCGTCAACGTCGCCGTCGCCGCCGCCGCCGGCGTCGTCGTCGTCTTCATCGTCGTCGTCGTCGTTGTCGGCGTGGGCTTGGGCGTGGGCAGCGTCGGCGTCGGCGTCGTCGCCGTCGGCCGCCGCAGCCGTCTTCGAAGAGGGCGTCGTCGCCGTCGGCCGCAGTCGCCGCTGCCGTCGTCGTCGGTGTCATCGGCATCGTCGTCGCAGTCGGAACGTTAACTAGGGGGGACCCGCTCCTGGGGGGAAACACCGAGCTGCAATCGGCGATGCATCGCCGACAGATCGGCGGTGTGCCCCCCGATGCGGACCCGCACGCTCTGGGGCGGGACGGGCAATCGGGCCCCCACGGGCGACCAAGGGGCTGGGCGATTTTTTTTTTTGTTCGCCGACGCTCGACTCTGTAATACTGCCCCCGCCGATACTGCCGGGCTGGCCCGGACTCACACCTGCAGCAGGCCCGGCAAATCACTATCTGAACGGGTGCCCCTTGCAGTGCTGGTAAACGTCATCAAGGGGCTGGGCGATCGATGGATGATGCGTCCCTCCCTGAGCCCTTTGTGGGCCCCGGAAACGGCAGGGCCGCTTGTTTCCAAAAAAATGCCCATTGAAAAAGGAAACGGCAAAGAAACGGAGACCGGAAACGGCAAAAAAACGGCTCCAGGATTGGACCCAGACCCGGCACCGGTCCAACAACGGCGACGGAACCGGTAAAAAAACGGCGTCGGAACCGGCAAAACAACGGCAAAACGGAACCGGTAAAAAAACGGCCCTGCCGTTTCCGGGGCCCACTGAGGTCTGGGACGGGGTGGTGTCTTTCAGCATCGCTGATGCGTCCTGGGTCAACTCTGGTCCTCCTCCTTCCCCTCCTCCCCTCCTCACCTCCTCCACTTCCTCCTCCGCCTCCTCCTCCTCCTTCTCCTCCTCCTCCTGCTCCTGCTCCCCCCCTGAGCCCATGCCCCCGAACGCCGCACCTGACCGCTGCCTCCACGCTCGCTTCCCCGGGCCGTGCCTCGGCCCGCGGGCGGCCCTTCGCGGGACGCTCCCGGCGCCCCCCCTCGGAGCGCTCTCGGCGAGGCGCCGCTGCCTGGAGCGCATCGGCCGGAGGCTGCAACAAACGCCAGGCTGCGACGAACACGCGGGCAATAGTTATATCCACATCCAGTGCGTCTTGGAGTCTTGGGCTCTCTTCCCCAGAAAGCGCAGACGCACTGGATATGGATAAGAATCTGGCCCCAGGAGGCTTGATTTTATCCATATCCAGTGCGCCTCGGCGTTGCGGCACCTCGTCCGAAAAAGTCCAAGACGCTCTGGATATGGATATAAGTATTGCCCGCAGAACACGCCCGAAGGCCTCGAGTGCTCGAGCGACTCGAGCCCGAAACGCCCTCCCCGACGCTGCCCCGGCGAGCGCGCGAGCGGCGGCCGCCTCTGCGGCTCGGCGATGGGGGCCGATGCGTCCCTCGGGGGCGGACGGAGCACCCCCTTCGGCCAAGCGCCCTTTCGTGGGAGCTGCCAGGGGCACTCGGCGTGCGCACGGCCCCGCGTTCCGAGTTTAACGGGCGAAGAACGGTATAAAATAATTTGTTTTGCCGTCGGGGACACTTGCCCCAGGGCGGCAGGAAAGTTTATACCCTTACGGTGGCACCGTAGGGGTATCAACTTTCCAGCCGCCCAGGGGCAGGTGTCCCCGACAGCGAAAAAGTTTATTTTATACTGTTCTTCGCTCGCTGACGAGTGCACCCCAGCGGGGCAGTTACCGCCTCACCCGCCCGCGCGTCGATTCGCAAAACCGGCTGGGCACGACACTGCTGCAGTCGAGCGACAGTGCCGAGCGAACCCTTCAGACTGCAGCCGTCGAATTGTCTGGGTGGGCGTTTTGTGAGTGCCCAGATCCTCTCTGAGCCCACGGCCGGCCCGTATCATGAGGCTGCGCGAGAAGGATGCCAGGGCCTTGCGCGCCCATTTCGAAGCTTTTCGCGCGGGGCGCGGACGAAAGCGGGCAAGGATGGACCGAGGAGGCAAGGATGCACGGCTACGCCTGGGAAGGCTGCCCATCCTTGCTGTGCGGGTCGACTGCATCCCTCGCTGCCTTGGGCAACGCGGAACGTATCTGAACGGGCACGTGTGGGAAAGCGGGGGCCGGGCCACTCGGCGCCACCTCTGCCTGGAGTGATCTCTCGGTTGCTCTTCACAGACAGGCCCCCCGCCACTCAACGGCGCATGTTCCGAGCTACTGTTAAGTCGGGCCTGTCCCCCTACAGGGGGTTTTGGACGAAAAATTAAGAATACCCCCCAAAAGCATCCAAATGGCCAAAACATGTTTAAAAAAATCGTCACTGGACTATGTTGTCACTGTTTTGAATCTTCCCACTGTAGAGGGACAGGCCCGACTTCAAGCTATACTGCTGTCTTGGACCCCCCCCCCGCGCGGGGAGCACGGCAGCGAGAAAGAGCACGCAGCTCGGCAAAGGACCATAAAGGATGCGCGGTAAGGATGCAGGGGCCTCGGAGGCCCTTGTCGGGTCGGGCGAAAGGGGGGGATAGCAAAGGGGGGAAGGGGGGGGGTTGAGAATCAGCTCACGTAGCTGGTTTTCCCGGCGCCTCCCGGCACCGGAGGCGGCTATGTATCGAGGAATGGGCCCCTCGGTGGGGCCGAAACCAGCTGCATGCAGCAGAATTCGTACCCCCCCCCCTTTCCCAACCCCCCCTTTCGTCCGTCCCGACCTTGGTAACGTTTGTCGAACAAGGTTGGTCGGCGAAAGCAGCTATACGGATGGTCCGAAGGGGCAAGGCTGCGAGAATACCCTTGGTGAGGTTGCCCATCCTTGGCAGCGAGCAGAAGGGGGTAGGGGGAGGGGGGGGAAGGCTTCATGGAAGGAGGCTGCTTCTTAGATGGCGCCAGCCTTACATCTACAGAGAAGGCCCGCACCTTCTAAGAAGTAGGGATGATTCTAAGAAGCCTTCCCCCCTCCCCCTAATTACCCCCCTCTGCGCGCCGCCAACATCCTTCAACTATATGCGGATTGCCTGCAGCTCCCAAGGCCAGGTCAGCGGAAGGGGGGAGGAGTGGGGTCGGCTCCAGGTGGCTCCCCACCGGGTTCGCCGGAGCATCTCGAGGGGGAGTGGCCGACCCCGTTCCCAGCTATCCGGCGTCTCGCAAACATCAAAACGTTTTTTTATATGTGTATATATATATGTATATATATATGTATCTTTCGGCGTTCGGCCTCGCGGGGCCCTCATCAGGCCTCGCGGGGCCGTTAAGAAACGACTCGGCATGAAACACCAGCCTCAGGGAGCGGGTCGAGAAGCCGGGGGCCGGTGTCTCGAACAAAATCGAAGCGCCGGAGGTCTGGGTGAGCGCTGGCCAGGAGCAGCCCGAGCACGAGACAGCGTCCAGACCAGAGCCCGAGCCCGACGCCCAAGCCGGGTCCAGGTCCGAGCCAGGCCCGAGCCCCGGCCCAAGCCGGGACCCGAGCTTGCAAGGCCGAGCCTTAAGTCGGGCCTGTCCCCCTACAGGGGGATGTTCGACGAAAAATAATACATATTCAAAAAATACCCCAAAAAGGGTCAGAAATACTAACAAAAATAGTCCCCATACTATTTTTGAACCATTTTTTATTAAATTTGGAAAATTTGTAATTTTTCGTCGCCAATCTCCCTGTAGGGGGACAGGCCCGACTTAGCTCGAGCTCGAGCCCGAGCCGAGGCCCCGTGGCGCGAGCCCCCGCGCGCGGCGCGCCTCCCGCACGCGCCGGTCGGCCCAGCAGCGGCCCTGGGCACGGCTGAGCCGAGCGCCTCGGCCGCGGGGGGGCGGCGCGGCGGGCAGCGCGCTGCTCGCGCGGGCTGCGGCGGCGCGGCAGCGCGCTGCAGGCCGCTGTGCGGCGGCGGCACCTGGCCGTCGCTCGGACGTCCATTCCCTGCGTCTTTTTTCGGTTTCGTTTTTTTTGTTTATTTGCAAAATGATCAAGGATGCTCCTCGATGGTCGGTCCTCGCCGAAGGAAGAATACACACGTCCGAGCGATGCCACGGCACGCGCTGGCCGCGGCGACGCGCCGCCGCGCGGCGGCGCCGCCGCGCCGAGGCGCCGGCGCAGCACGGTTAGCGCCAGCGGCGGCGGCGTGCACCGACGGCGACGCGGGGCGGCGCCGACGGCGAGCGCCGACGGCGAGCGCCGACGCCGACGGAGAGGCGCCGGCGGAGGCGGAGAGCGCGAGCGGCGGCGGCGGCGAGCAGGGCCCGCGCCGGTCGGCAAAACGACGAAGAAGAGAACGGTCACAAAAGGGGGAGACGTGGAACCGGAATCGGCGGTGCACCGCCGATGCGGTCAGGAACTCTTTTGGGGTAAAACAGAGCTAGGATCGGGATAAATCGCTCCAGAGCGTTCCGGAGCGCTCTCAGAGCGTTCCGGAACGCTCTGGAGCAGCCGCGGCGCCCAGTACATCCTGCACACCCGCCGATTCTCAGAGATTTCGAGTTAGCCCGATCCGATTTTGTCCCGATCTTCGCGTCGTTTTTTGGGGACACCCGGCATGGGTGAGGAGGAAGTGGGCACGACGGCCAACAGCAAAGGTTGACCAAAGTCGACGGTGGCCGCTCTTGGGCAGGCGACCTTCTGCCTCAACTGGACGACGACCGCGGCGACGCCGACAGCGAACCCAAGTCAAAATGGGAAGGAACTGCTGTCGGTCTTCGTACCCAGACATGCGACGTCCTGATTTTTTCAGGACGGTGCCCCTGGAAGTCGCAATCCTTTCCCCGGGACCGCTTTTTCGTCCTGAGTCGTTTTTTGACGGTCCCGAGGCCCGGCGAGGGCCCCCCGAGGCCGAAAACAGCGAAACACCTCTCGTCCTAATTTTTGTTACGACGCGAGAGTGTCTGGGCATCCATCCTTTCCAAACCCATGTCGATGGTACCGAACTTTTGCTCAGCAAATCGCTGCGGCGGCCCCAGCGGCACGCTGTATGCTCTGCAGGCGGATCGCGTGCCGCTTCGCGTCGCGGGACGGAAGATGAGAACAAAAACTCGGGGCGTTGGCGACTGGCGACCAGGAAACGGACAGCGTGTCGCGCCGAAGCGTACAGTGGAGGCCTGTCCACAAGAAACCTTCCACGAGAAACCCAACCCTGAGACCCCAGGACGTCCATTGATTTTTGGTGTGGGAGCGTCACGCTTTCCTTAGCAGAACCATCGAACCCCGAGAAACCCAGTGCACCCTGGAGGCAGGCAGGGTGTTTCTTGGCACGGGCCCCCGCTGCAGTGGACCAGAACCGGCGGCGCGACACCCGACCATACCTCGGCGACGGACCCGCGATTGCGCAGCCGCACGCCCCTGGGCGAGGTGGGCTATCGAGCCTGAGCAGGGACCGATCTTCCTGGCACCTCTAGAAGCTGTAGACCTACCACGCAGTTGTATTTTAACGAGAACATGCTTACAACGACTCAAAACACGAATCCAGCGATTGAGAACAAGACCGTCTCAGCCAAAAAGGGTCTAAGAACATGTCGTACAAAACGGCTACCTACCAGACCACCCCGACTCAACCCGAAGACCCGCATTTCGGGTTGGGGGGGTACGGGTTCCAGATATGTTTTTTGTCAATGTTCCCCGAAACCCCCACTGGAAATGGAAGGCATATTGAGGCCTCCAGGTTGGGTTGGGGTGATTTGGTGGTTGGTGAGAAACAACTCGGGAATCTTCTAACCCGGGTCAATCCAGACCCGGGTCAGTCAGGCCTTGCAAAATCTCGCAAGATCTTGCAAGATCCTGCACCCAACCCCGGGTCAACACGAAGCATCCTGCAACGTCCTGCAGGATCCTGTACCCAAGCCCAAGGCAATGCGATCCTGGCCCTGCAGGATCATGAAAGATCGGGCGCTCTGGCGGACCCCCGCTTGCATTAACCCCCGTCTCAAGGCTCCCGAACTACACAAGCTGAGTCATTAGGTCATTCTTTGGAAGGCCTTCTCGCAACCCCGACCCCCGACGTCGTGATTTTTGTCACAACGTCGACCCCCAGAGGTCTGGACCTCTTCCCCGGGACCAGTTTTTCATCCTGAGTCGTTTTTTGACGGTCCCGCGGCCCGGGCAGGGCCCCCAAAGGGAGAACATAGCGAAAAACTTTCCGCCGTGATTTTTCCACAGCGCGAGGGCTGGCCATCGTTCGGACGTCCATTTCCTGTGCTTTTTTTGTCGGTTCCGTGCGTGGCTTTTCCGCCACATGATCAAGGATGCTCCTCGATGGTCCTCGCCGAAGGACACATGCACACGTCCGAGCGATGCCAAGGAGGGGGTCAGTACGCAAGTCCTCAGATCACTCTCTGGAGGGCCTCCTCGCCACTCGGGGCGCTCCCGGCCCGCCGCCCGCCGGCGACCCGCCCGCACAAAGCCGGCGAGATCGCCCGCACTTAAGCCGGCGGGCGAGCGGCGGGCGGCCGCCCGCCGGCCGAGGGGGCCGGCGGGGTGCGTCCGCGGTCGTCCGGAGCTGCGGGCGGGCCTCCCCGCACGGAGCAGGAGCTCGACCACGAGAAGGCTTCCACGAGAGGCCCAACCCTTTGAGCAGGGACCAACCGTCCCGGCATTTCTATGATCCTACCACGAGATGTTCTTAGAACCCAAAAATGTTCTAAGAACAACAATGTTCTAAGAACTGCTGGCGGGCCTCCCTGCACAGAGCAGGAGCCAGGCCCCCTCGCGAAAAGTTTTTCGCTATTTTCTCCCTCTGGGGGCCCTTCCCGGGCCGCGGGACCGTCACAAAACGACTCAGGATGAAAAGCCGGGCCCGGGGAAGAGGTCCCTGCAGACCTCTGGGGGTCGACGTTGTGAAAAAATCACGACGTCTGGGGTTGGAGGAGCTCGACCACGAGAAGGCTTCCACAAGAGGCCCAACCCTGAGACCCCAGGATGTCCATTTCGGCGGCGAGCGAGGGGGGGGGGGCATGAGGAGGAGGAGGCCTTCGCAGAAGGCGGCGGGGCTTCTCAGAAGCCCTCGCGCCTTCTGAGAAGTTTTTTCTGTCTTCGGGGAGGGCTCAGGAAACTTCTCAGAAGGCCGCGGAACTTCCGAGACTTCTGAGAAGGCCCACCCATTCTCAATTCCCCCCCTCGCTCGCCCCTCGCTCGCCGCCGAGGAGCTCGACCACGAGAAGGCTTCCACAAGAAACCCAACTCTGGGACTCCAGGATGTCCATTGACTGTTGATGCGGGAACGCCACGCTGTCCATAACCAGCAGAACCATCGAAGCTCAGGAAACCCCAGGGCACCCCGAGTCAAGCAGGGTGCTCCTCGGGATGGGCTCTCGCTGCAGAGGGGTGGGGTGTGTGTGGGGGTTTGGGGTGGGGGAGCGAGGCCCGAAAGGTAATCTGTGCACGTCGCTCCAAAAAAAACGGGACACGCTTGCACGCCTCTCCAGCTCAGCGCTGCTCGACAAAGCACGCGGAGGGGGGGGGGGGCAGCCCAGGCCCTTAGAGTAGAGGCCTCCGCGCGGAGGCCCGACGAGAGCAGTGCCATGCCCTCGGAGGCTTCCGCGCGGGGTGTGTGTGTGTGTGTGTGTGTGTGTGTGTGTGGGGGGGGCACGTTTTCTTAGCTTTCGGCCGCGCAAGTAGAGGAACGAGAACTATGCACATACACCGATTCTGGCCAGGCCCATCCTGAGCCCAGGATCGGTGCATACGCCCTGCTGCCTTGGCCAGGAAGGTATATGCACCGATCCTGGGTCAAGGATGGACGTTGTCAGGATCGGTGCATGTGCATAGTTCTCGTCGCCCGAGCAGGACGGACAAAACAGGGCTGCCCAAAACAGGAAGCAACAAACACGAGGCATCGCGACACGGAGCCGAACCGAGAAGGGCGCGAACGAGCATGCAAGCACAGGGAAGCAAAAGCCAACCCCCAACACACAACAGAGCCAACCTTGAAAACAAAAAACGCCATTACCTCGCCATCGCCCGGACGTCCATTCCATGTGCGTTTTGCGATTTCGCGCGTGCCTTTGTGCTCGGTGGTCCAGGATTCTCCTCGACGGTCCTCGCTTTTAAAAGGAGCACACGCCAGATCGATGCCAAGCCAAGGGCCCCCTCAGGGCCAGGCAAGCGAGTCTGCCCGAATCTACACACGAACGCGCTCCCAGCCCGCGCGCGGCCCGCGGGCGGCCGGCAACCCGCGGCCGCCACCCGCCGCCCGCCCGCCCGCCGCCCGCCCCCCGCCGCCCGCCCGCCGTGCTTCCGCGCTCAACACAACACCCAAGACTGAACAGCGCCCGTCTCCAACACCAAAACCGGGTACGCGACGGCCTCCGTCTCCTACACGGCACCCCGCATCCAACAGCATCCCGCTGCACGAGAGAATCCTGAGGAGGCCTGGTGAATCCCGATCCGCCCGCCCGCCGCCCGCCCGCCGCACGCTCTAAAACAGGGCTAGGATCGGGATAAATCGCTCCAGAGCGTTCCGGAGCGCTCTCAGAGCGTTCCGGAACGCTCTGGAGCGGCCGCGGCGCCCAATACATCCTCCAAACCCGCCGATTCTCAGAGATTTCGAGTTATCCCGATCCGATTTTGTCCCGATATTCGCGTCATTTGATGCCCGCCCGCCGCCCGCCCGCCCGCCCGCCGCCCGCCCGCCGCACGCTCCCCGCCGCCAGCGGCCAGCCATCTCTGCGGCTGCCGCACGCCGCCGGCTGCCGGCCGTCGCCGTGGCGATCGGCCAGCGATCGCCCGCCAGCCGCTGGCTGACGGCAAGCCTCACCAGCCTGGAACACATCCCTATCCCTACAGTCGGGGCGTTGACCTAAGGAACCCTAA